CTAATCTCTTTTTAATTATGTAGTAGAATAAATTAAAGCTTTAGTCATATTGATATCTAGGACATCTGAGACTTCTAAAACTTTTGAATTATCTGAGCTGGTAATTGATAAGTCAGAAACTAACTTAAATAAAATAAGCTAGAAGCTTTTTTTATATTTTTAATAAAATAACAATGAAAAAAGTATTTTAGAAAATAGGCTATTGATACAGTAAAGATTCAAATATTTTCATGACTATTACAGAAAAAGATACTAACTAATTCTAAGAATATCGAAACAGAATAATGGCAGATGTAAAATTTATCGATTTTATAAAAGAAAATGAGATGAATCTAAATACTTTATTTACATATGAAAAGGGAAAGATTAATAAGTGAAGAAATATATCTTCAGGAGTTTGAAAATGTGAAAAAATCCTAATAATATGTTTATGATGATAAGGAGTGATAAAAAAATATAAGCATACTTCAGAAGAATGGTATGCTTTGATAAAGAGTAAATAAAAAGTCAGTTTATATATAAGTAAGATATTTAAATAAGAAGTCTTTTTTCTTTATAATTAAGCTATATATAATTTTAAATTATTATTATTTTTTATATATCTTATTTACTTGTAATTTCAAATTAATGTAAATATCTCTCAGCCAAGCAGATGGTTTTATAAAACTTCTCATATAAGTTATATTATTATTTTTCTCTTCTTTTATTTCTCTGATAATTTTTATCAATTATAATAGTGAATTATTAAAATATTTTTTTGAATTGAACATTTTTTTGTATAGTATATTACCAATAATCTACATATTACTAAATATTTTATATATTATCAAATAATAACATATCTGCTATTACTACAAGATACATAACAGAAACAGACTCAATAATACAATGAGTATTAAAGAGCTTAGTCAGCATGTATCAGAATTTAACATTCTTTTTATGGATAAAGTTAAGAGAAATCAGGTACAATAATATCTTTAAAAAGGATATAACTTTAGCAAAGAACAGATATTTGTATTGATTCTTAAGCTAACAGTTAGTCTAAAAAAAGACAAAGTTGTATTTAATACTTCTAATATCTTTCAAAAGTAGAACTGGTAAAAGAAGACATAATGAATATATGTTAAATTTTATAAGAAGAAAATATTAGGAAATTAGCCTAATATATTATTCAGGATAAACTTAGTAAAGCAGAAGTAAAATTATAGTTAGAGCTTTAATCAAAATAACTTCTAATACTATTGTAACTTTATCTCACCTTTCTAGGCTTCAGATAGAATTGTAAATACTCAATATTTCAGAAGAAATAATTTCTGTTATATTGATTTATATAACCTGTTCAGCTAATAAAATTCAAAAGGAAAAAAGTTTGCCATATGAAGATAAAGAAATCGATTATCTAGACAATATAATAAACTTTTCTATAATTGGTTAATTATACACTAATATGATTAGCTAATAACAAATCATATAACTATTCATTCTAATAAAAAATTTAAAAAAATTTTAATTTTTTAAGTTTAAAATCATTAATATTTATGTGAAAATATTATGTAAAAAAAAATCAAATTATCTTTAATAAGTGAAAAATATATTAAAATATTTTTTTATTAAATTATATTAATATAAAATATATATAAATAATTATATAAATTATATTTATTATTAGTTATTTGGTTTAAAAATTTAAATCAAATTATACAATAAAATTAAAATATAAAAGAATAGTTATATATTATCTATTATTTATTAGAAATAATTTAACTTTCTCTTTTACTTGTATAAATAAATAAAAATAAGTTTTAAAAATATATACCTATATATAATTTCAAATCTCAATCTCTTTCTCTTTTTCTATATATTTATATATATATAAAATAATATATTGTAAAGAAACTCTTATTAACTAAGTTTTGAATTACCTTATTTTTTACCAAATTACTTTAACAGTTTATAAAACAGAAGGTATACTTTAGAAATTTTTTTATTGCCATTTAAAGATAAATGATCATCATTTTTATATGAATTTAATATATAATAATTATTTTAAAAATCAACTAATTAGGCTTAAGCTATACTTATCCAGATTATTTTATATTAGAATTAGTAAAAAAGGTTAGATGAGTATGATGTATTTAATATACCTGACTTATAAGCTTTTGATATAATGATAATGCTTTGCATCTGTCCTACTGATATTAAAACCTTACATATATGGTCAACAGGATATTTTTTGAGTATTTAAATTAATGAAAAAGAATGAGAAGTGAATAAGACAATTGCTTATATGAATTCAAAAGCAATTTTTTCTAGACAATTAAGAGATCTCAGAAAGCCTGATGTATTGTGATTTAATAAATTTCTGAAAAAAAATGAATTTATTTCTAAAAGTGATAAATCACTATTTCCTAAATTCTTACACAATCTAGAAGTAATGTTTACAATAGTATTATATGGATTAGGAATATTTTAAAAACTAACACTATTACTAGTGAAGCACTTAGATATAATTCTAATAATAATACTGCATTATTGTAAAAATCTATTATAGTAAATTATCACCTCAGAGGAGTGTCTTATAATCAAGCCAATAAATAATAATAGTGATTTTCTAAATTATTTGAACAATTAATACACATTTAGGTATGGTAAAAATCAATTAAAGTTTTAGTTTCTTTAGCTTCTAAAAATATCCATTTTTTTACTGTAATATTATACCATTCACTCTAATATCCTAGAATTAGCATTAGGTTTGCATTGTAATAATGTAGATCATTATTAGAAAGAAAAATAATCCAATATAGTTTGACTTTAAGTAACTCAATAACTATATATAGTGAAGAAGCTATAAATTATACATCTTGACATATATTAATTGATCAGTAATCAAATACTTGAATATCCAATTAATAATTTTCAGATTTTTGCAAATAAATAAAAATTAAATGTAAAGCCCAAACTTTTTTTTTAAAAAAGTATTTTTTGTTTCTTTTGTACCTTTAGATAAGATTTTTATCTTATAATCAACTATTATTATAGCTTCTTTTTCATTTAAATTTAATAGATTTAAAAATACTTTTCGTATTTGATGACTCAAATAATAAAAAATTTGATTTTGTAATTCATAAATTTCCTTATGAATATTGTTTAAAGTGATTTTTTAATATTAATGAAGAATTGAAAAAGTGCATCACAATTTTAACATATGTGAATATGTTGTTTATTATATATAGCAAAAGCAAAAAAAAGGCAATAGTTTATATATTGATTATATAATGTTATTTTATCAGAATTTACAGTCAAATGTGACTTATATTCTCTTTTCAGATATCGTTTTAATTTCTAATAATCAATTCTAAAAAAAAAATTATTAAAAATTAATATTTATATAAATATTATTTTTTATTAATTATAAGAATGAAAATATTATCTAGATATGAAGATTATTAACGTAATTTTGAATGTATTTGGTAAGTTTATCAAATATTTTATAGTCATATATATTACATATTAAATATAAGTCACTAAGATTCTCATGATAAATATATTTATTATCCTGTAAATGCTTATAAAAGTATTCTTTTTACTCTATTTGAATATTTTTCATGAAACTTTCTTACAATTCTTATTTTGTATTTTTATGTAATAAACTTATTTTTGCATAATGGCATTTATTTTGTATAAACTTATTATTATATTAGCTTTATCAGAAAAGAAGTAATTGAGATACATTTAGTCTATTAATACATGCATATTAACAAGTTCATGATACTATATTTATCACTATCTATAAGATTATATTTTTTATTAATTTAATTATTTTTGATAATATATATTATAGTAATATGCATTAACAGTATACTAATCCCTAATTTTGATCTAAATTCTTAATAGGTAAATTTTATAGTAATAATTAAAAAAATTTGTCTTTGATCATATTAACCTCTATTTGTATTTTCTAATATATTATGAAATGCTTGTTAAAATATAAATAATTAATTTTCTTGATAACACAGATTTTGTTAGAGAAATCCTGATTTATAAAGTATTTATAATATTATATTATTTTTTTATGTATTATATGATTTCATTTAAAATTTAAACTAAATCAAAAAATTATTTGTCAATAATAATAAAATAAAAGTTAATTTATTTTTTGCATAATTCTAACTTTAGATTCTTCTTTTTTGAAGGAAATGATATTAGTATATCCTGTATTTTGAACAAATACTCTTCAAACACACTATTTTTGATAATTAATTTTATACTTAAATAGATATAAATCTAAAATAGCTTTTTGTAATTCTAAAATATCACTTTTTTGATTCAACTATTTATCAAATAAATTATGCTATTTGATTTAATATGAAATTCTTTTCAAATAATATTTATAAAGATTTTCTAATATTTCTTCTAAAGTCCAATCTGATATCTTTTAAGAAAAAATTTATGCTTGTTAAATATAAATTTATGTATATGAATTTTCTAATCTAAAAAGGGTTTTTTTCAGAATAATTTGAAAGCCTGCCAATACATAAAATTGAAAAACAGATTTGTATTCTTCTTTTTTATAGTTCCACTCTAATTTTTTAATTTTTCCATTTCTAGCATAATTACGTTCAATTTTTTAAGACTAATTATATATAAACAAATATAATATAATTAAATAATTGTTGTATAATATTTGTATTGTCAAAACTTATAACTTGTGAATCTGTGTACTTCACATTTGAACAAAAATCTTTTTCATAATAAATATTAATAGCTTCTGTTAATGAACTGCATACACCTGACTGATTTTCTTCAAAAAAAACACAAAAATTCAGAAAAATTTGAATATTAAATATCTTTTACAACAGTAATTATGAAGTCACATTTGTTTAAAACTGTATGTATTTTCATTTCTAAATAAATCAGAAGAAAAGGAATATGCATAAGATTTTTATTTATAGGTTATGTAAACTATTAATTATAATAAAATAGGCTATAATATAAATTTTTTATAATTTTACTTGTAAAAATAAGTGGTATAATGTATTTTTTACTTTTACTCATATGTTTTGATTTTAAAAAAAGTTAAGTATATAAAAAACGTAAGATTCTAAAAGATGCAAAATTATATAGATGTATTATCTTTAGATTTTATATATGTTAATCACTATTTTATATACAGATTATGAATTAAATAATAAGACTTTATTTAGAAGTATGTGAAGTTATAAAGAAAAATTATATTTTAGATTTATAAATAATATTAAGAATTAGATACAATTATTGAGAAAGTAAACAAAGCTATAAAAAATTTTAATACCTTCTATTTTTACAATATTATTATTAAAAAGATATTACATATAATTGTCAAAGATTATTTGAGTTTAAATATATTATTTATTTAAATTAATTAATTATAATAATTTTTAAGTATTTAGATTAAAGATTTAACTAAAATTTATTATAGAATATTAAAAATTTCAAATTTATTTAAGAAGTTTTAAATTTATTAATCTAATTAATATAAGCTTAGTTTATCAAAGTTAAGAAAAATCATAAATTGAATAAACTCTTAAAAGACTATATATTTAATAAAATAAATTTAATAAAATTTTCAGAAAAATATTCTTGAATAAAATCAAAAAAGCAAAGCAAATTATTAAATATATTATAAAATATAAAATATATATTTAATTTATATAATAAATTTAATAGCTAATAATAAATTTTTTATTTTTCCCTAATAAAAATTTTTTTAATAGCAATTTCTCTAATAATATTTTATATAAATAGCAATTTCTTATATGATAATTTTTTGATAATAATTTTTAATAGTAATTTTTCATTAATTTTCTTAATAATAATTATTTAATAGCAAATTTATCTAATATCTACTTTTAAATGTCTATTTCTTTAACAAATTTATTTATATTATAAATAATTTTACTTAAACTATTTAATATTATATATTGATAAAACAGATATTAGAAAAGCTACTTTTTGTATTACACATATATTATAAATATTATTGGTATTAAATAATAAATTATTTTAAAACTTTTAATTTTAATCAATCATATTTTTTTTTAATAAAATAATCTAAAATATTCTAGTCAGTAAATTTATTTTATAATAGGAAATAATCACTATAATATATTTGATAAATTCTTTGATTATATTATAAGACTAAAGATTATACTACAATTAATTATAATCTTATAATACTTGTTTTATAACTAATTATAATTAATTATAATGTTATCTTTATATAAAAATTCTAAATTTAGTTATAATAGTTTTTTTAAATTATTATTATTTAATATAAACAGTTTTTGTAAAAAAAAAAAAGAATTTTTAAGAAAATTACCAAAAAATTGTTTTTTTACTTTATAAGCTAAATATTATTTTTTAGTAAAATAAATCTATAATTTAGAAAAAATCATATTTACTAGAATTGGATAAATTATTAGCCGCGAGGCCAATTAAATCTGAAAATTTAATTTGCCTATGCTAAGAAATTGCTACGCCTAAACTTAACCATATCAGGCCACTTTCATATAATATCAGGAGTTTAAATTTTGAAGGCTTAGGTTTTACAGGCCGCAAATTTTTTTTTTTTGACTTTAATAATCTCTAAAATGGTATGTTATAAAAATTGCTTTTACATTTTAATTAATTCTTCAAAGCATATAATTTAATTAAGCATTTGATTTCTATGATTTTGCAGAATTGTATTAAATATATTTTTAATAATGTTTTAGTATATTAATTTTTATATGTAAATAAATTTTATGCTAAATATATTCTTTTCTATTTCTATTAATCTTTATATGAAGAAAATAGATTATAATATAATAGAAGGTTTGTTCTATTAATAATTAATTTTACTTTTACAAGAAATTGCTTATACATTATATTTAAAATCAATTTAATTATCAGTTATACTTTCTTCTAACTCTTTTTAGTATTTTACACTATCTTCAATTTTATATAAATTTATCCTCTTATACATTTATCTAAATTATTAATAATATTTTAGCAATTTTTCTTATGTTAAACTTAGAATTTTTTACGGTTAGTTCTTTATTCAGTTTTATCTTTTTCTTAATTAAAATAGATTAACGTAATTTTAAATATACTATAATTCTTTAATAATTTCCTTTTCAACTGCTTTTATCACTTCTTTTTTTTTTTTCTTTTTCTTCAATTGCATAATTAACTATAATTTTACAGTATTTTTATTACTTCTCCTTTTTGTTATATAGTTATCAAAACTGATTTACAAATTATCATTTAATAATTTAATAGCTTTTAAGAATTTATGTCAAAATGACTATTGTTAAACATCAATAATTTTTACATAAGATCTTATTTATTTGATATCATTAGTTCTTATAACCTTAACATTCAACTATATAAAATTAAAGTGTATTTAGAAGATCTCTTTAATAATAAAGTTGATTAGTTAACAAAAAATTACTATAATATAACTGGCCTAACAATTGATCTCTAATACTCAAATTAAGTTTCTTTTAATACAAAAATATACTAATTGCAATTTCTATCTATCACTTTATTAAAAATTATAAGGTCTATTATATTTGCTTGTTTTAGGTAGTTAAATTTAACTAACAAATATGATAATTTTCTCATAAATTAAATAATCACTATATTTTATCTAAATGATAATATTGCTAATACATATATCTCTTATTTTTAAGAAAATAAAAGAACGGAAAAAGACTAGACATATAGATCGTAAGAAATAAAAAAAAGACACGTGAAAAATAATATACAATTTTTTCTTTTTTAAAAAAAAAATACGCATTTAATAAATATCTCATCGGATTGATCATTTATTTATACAGTGAAAATTTTCAAATTTTTTAATAAACTTTATAATAAATCAAATTAAAAAAATTAAAAAAAAATTATACTTTAAACGTAATAATAAATATATTATTATAGTAATCAAGCATAAAAAAAAAGATAAATAGAGAGTTGTAATTCAGTTCGAACGACTGGCCTTTTCAAGGACAGCCTCGAAAGAAACTTCCGATAAATCAGTGCCTTGTATTTCGATGGCAACTCCGACAAGTCTCCTGCGAATGGCTTCTTTGCTTGAAGCGTAAAGCATTTTCTCCTTGATTTTGGAATCATCGGGTGTCCTAAATAACGACATATTACAATTGTTAATAGATTTATATTGAAAATTTTAAATTCATCTTAATAATATTTTGAAAATTAATAAAAATTAAATCAGCCCTTATCGCCACAGACACACGAAAACCTTCAGAAAACACTATAATATATTTTTACATTGTGAATTCAACAAAAAGAAAAAACCATACCAAGAGTAAAATGCAATCTTATTACGTTGACCTTCACCGGGCTTTTCGTAATCGAAATCATAAACAGCATAACGGGGTCCTTTCGAAGTAAGAACTGTAATGAAATTATCATAGGTACTTTCTTCAGCAGCTTCTTCAAGAATGATCGATTTATTTTCATCGTCAAGCTTATACAGAAGGTATTTGTATTTTTTCTTTAGCTTGAGATCTTGGAAAGCTTCCAAGCATTCATCTTTAACATTAACACCACTAGCACTAGACTAAAGAATATAAGAAATGTGCTGTAAATAAATTATATGCTTTGAAGAATTAATTAAAATGTAAAAGCAATTTTTATAACATA